TGATTGTAGTAATGTGTTTTTATTACATGTGCAGCACTTTGGCTCGACCAAAAATCGCTTTTAAATGTGCTTTTATAAATAAAACTTGATTTGATTTGATTAGAATAGATTTACATTGTGCAATTTTCCAAACTCACATTGGTTTTCTCATACAGCATCTCTGTATAGTATGTGTATTCACTGAATTTCACTCTCTTGCCTAAACGCCTTGTTGGAGCTTCTGCCCCTTCCCCTAACTGGGTTAGCCTACTATTATGATTATGCATGTGTTTTTATCACAACTGATAAAGAACTCATTTCAAGAACGTTACATACTGCTGCTGGATATCTTAACCAAATATTTTTATATTAGCTAATAATCAAACCGTACAAAGTCACTAGTCACAAAAGCTGTAATTTAATGTAGTGGTGGAGTAAAAAGTACATTATTGGCTAAAATAGTGGAGTAGAAGCATAAAGTAGCATAAACTGAGAATACTCAGGTAGCAGGTACAAGTACCTCAAAATTGTAATTAAGTATTTTTTCTTGAGCAAATGTACTTTGTTACTATCCATCACTGAGACTGAGGAGTGTGTGTGTGTTCAGTATTTTTAGTAGTGTGCCGTCTATCTTGTTACACGTCATCCCTGACCTCAAATCTCTCACAATTATAATCAGTTGAATGTATGGTGAAGGTGGACACTGTCAAACAGCAGCTCTGTTTATTTACTTATGTGTTATTGCACACATAATGACTGTGTGTTTGTATTAGGTGTGTGTTCACAGAAGTCACTTTTACGTTCATTCTCTGGTTTAGGAGTCAGGTTTCGTTTTGGGAAAACGCATAAGGATACAATTACCGTAATTTTCGGACTATAAACCGCGCCTTTTTCCCTATTTTTCGACGCTGCGGTTTATATAACGGTGCGGCTAATCTATGGATTTTTACAGCTAACGGCCAACACCTTTAACTCTATGGGCTCTATGGCCGGTCCGCGGACCCCCACCTTTAAGCGGCGGGTTCCAGCAGGAAAAGCTGGAGGCCGGAAAAGAGTGAGACAGGTAGCGCGCAAAAGTAAAAGTGGAACCGAGAGTGGTATGCCGCTGCTGCGGCTCGGCATACCACTCTCGGTTCCACTTTTACTTTTGCGCGCTACCTGTCTCACTCTTTTCCGGCCTCCAGCTTTTCCTGCTGGAACCCGCCNAATTGTATTCAATAACCGTAAGAAATTAAACAGTATGAAGTGATTTGTAAATAGGAATACAGATTTGACTTAATGTTTTCATAAATATATTTTTCTCCCAGTTTGTCATGGGACTTATTTTTACCGTCTCAAAGAACCGGAATCGAGAACCGAAAATAACTGGTATCGAAAAGCAGAACCGGAATCGTTAAAATCCAAACGATACCCAACCCTATGTGTGATGGAGTAAAATCTTACCGCTCACTTACGTTAGCGGTGTCGTAAAAACCGTGGGAAAATGTAAAATATGATGGCAAAGAAGAAGATTCCAGTGGCCCCAATTTGTGTCCATTCTGGACAAGTGAAAAATGTATTCGGACAAG